GAAGCTTCTATTAAATCTGTGTTATGACTCCCCTCCCCCATAACATCAGCAGCACCAATCTCTTGCTTCCCATCCCACAGCCCAGGAATCATTATAGCTAAGCATTAGCTTCTATCTCCCCATCGTCATCCTCTCTTTCTTCCAAGGCAAGTACTCTCAGCTGAATTTGACAGCCTGTTGGTTTTTTTGTTTTCCTTTAAGGTAAATAAATATGTCCTTTCTCAAATTGATGTATTTTTCAGCCATGTCAATTTTTCCCAGGTAGCAGGCATAAAGGGAATGTTCTTGGCTAACAAGAAGATTGACAACCAAGTGAAGACTTTCATCACGTATAACAAAGGCAGAGACTGGCGGTTGCTGCAGGCGCCGGACACAGATCTAAGAGGAGACCCCGTGCACTGCTTGCTGGTAAGCCTGCGTATGAGAACAGAACACCCCCATGCAGTGGAAGGCTGGAAAGTGGGTGTTAAATAAGCAGATGAAGATTACTCGGGGGCTTCTTGAGCAAAAGGGGGTGGAGAAGGACATAGGGGCAGAGTGTGATGCAGAGTCTTGGCTCTGCTTTTTAAAATGGGTCAAAGAGATAAGAGAACATGAGTAAGCTCCTCACTCACTTCCAGGATCCTCAGTTCTAGCCCAAGCTCTCAGAAGGACCTCAAGTGGTAGTCTGAGGGAGAATATGATAGTTTCCATATATGATAAAATTATGCCTGAAACACCTTTACTTTCCCATAAGTAGCCTGTTACAGATCTAATGATACATAAATCCAGCTGTAGAGTCAATGAGCTGAATGCAGAATTGCATAGGTGCATTTTCCAATAGAGACAGGCATCTAATTACATTTTTAGAGGAGATCATGACTCCAAAAGGGATAAGAACCACTGATCTAAACCTATATTGGTACTGTTTATGATAATCCTATTCATTTATGTTTCATTCTACAAACCAGTGATCGACAAACTATGACTTATGGGGCACATCGGGTCGACTTCTTTTAAGTATCACTGGAATAGAGTCACACTTAATCATTCATGCACTGCCTATGGCTGCCTTTCTGCTCCAGTGGGAGAGGTGAATAGTCATGACAGAGACAATATGATTCACAAAGCCTAACGTATTTATTATCCGGCCCTTTACAAAAAAAGTTTCCTGATGACTGCTGTAAAGTATGTCTTTCTTTTAGTTGTCTTTCTTTTGAGCAGTAAGTAGATTCAGCGAAATTTATTTATATATTTGACCACCTGATGAGGTCCAAGAGAGGTATCAAAGATGGTTCTTGCTTTCAAGGAGTTTGCTGTCTACTTGAGTGAGACTAGATTAATACATGAAAGATTGTAGGGTTA